GCCAAAAATGTTGACACTAATGGAGAAGCACTAACTCCCACAGAACAACAAACTGCAATTTGTAACTATAAATTCCTGGGAGGCCAGAAAGCTTTTTTTTCCTTATCAAGATACTTTATTTTAAAAATGAAATGTACCTGTCAAAATGGCTGTTTGTTGCATAGAGGATATGAAAACATTGAGTGAAGCAAAACCATATTCACTTTGGACTGTGGAGTGTTGTGGAATGTTCATCAACAGAATTTTTCGGAAACATCCTAATAGGATTTCACTTGGATAGCTTCTATAAATCTATTTCATGATGTTATTTATCAAATGATATTTAATTTGCTGTTTTAATTTCAGGAGACATTTCAAACACAGCATTTTGTAGAACTATTGATAAAACTAGGCCTGGTATTTTGTAAGGAACAAATTTTCTCTTATTGAGAATATAGATTGATCAAAAATGCTGACTTTATTAGATTTCTATGAAAAACAAAAAGCTTTAAAGAGAATTTTGCTTATTATTTCCTCCCTTTGGTAGTATTAATGTAACTAGTTTATAAATAAGATATAAGCACTGACACTGCTGATGTCTTTCTCTAAATTACTTACAAACTTTTTATTTCCTAGTCCTTGTTGAAAGTGCATTTTAATACAGATAAACCTTTTTTAATTCTGGTTTTGGCAAAGTCTGAAATATATTTATAAAACACACACACACACACACACACACACACACACACACACACACGTCTCAATGCCTCTGACAAAATACGGTAAATACAGTTGAAACATTTATTACAAGTTGTCCATGGCAATTTGAGATATACTCCAATCTGTACTTTCTGAGCCTTTGAGTAGATTGCATAGACTTTTCATCATAAAACAGCATTTTGCTTGCTTGAGGCTCTAACATTTCACATACTGATTTGGCAGTACTTCCCACTGAAATAACTAGGAAGCACTTGCAAGAAAGACAATGACTGAATCCTAAGCAAATTTAATAGAAACTAGTTTGCATGATTTTAGTGATTCCACATTGACAGATAGACTGCATGCTTATAAACCGCATGCATAAATGTACATGCATGTTTATAGATTACACGCATAAATGTACAGAATATTAATTTATTCCCTCTCCCATAGTATTTTAAAGGAACTGATGGTTTGCAGTTTGCATCCTTGGAATACAATTTATTTAGCAGGCCACTGAAATATGCCATTATAATTTTTCCCAGATTTCATCTGGGAACAAATACTAAAATTCAAAACCTTTCACATTATAACAGATTGAATGCATTCAACTTATGATTTGTCAAGTTCAAATCCCTGCTTTTACAGTATACTCTGCATAAAAATACTCATAATAATGTTCTCCAGAATTTTAGGTCTACAGCTTTCATAGATAACAAGAACCATGATAGGAAATTAGAACAATTATATTCTAACTCATCGGCATGGGGGTATCCCAAAAAGTATCTCTAAAGCGCTTTTATAGATAAAAATAGTCATAAAACCATAGGTGGCAATTAGAATCTCTGCAGCAGTCTTACACTTCCACTTATATTCTTTGTCTTTGGACACATTTGCTTGCCAGTAGCCTGTCCCTTGTTATATCTTTATCCATATTTTTCCTAATGATATCTACAAACGGATCATTACAGTTCTGATCTCTCTGAGCAAGTCATTTTTTTTCACATCTACATTTTGGAGTTCCAATGTTTCCCCTTCATCTATTTCATTCTTCATTTCTATTGTTTGCTTTCTAGATGCATATGGGTGGATTTTTCAATTTGCCTCCCCCCAATCTCTAATTAGAATTTTATCCATTTACTTTTTCCTCAACTTATTCTTTCTGTTTCTTTATTATCACAAAAGAGAGGAACATATGTGTTTTTAAAATAATTTTTTAATAATTCATTTTAGATTATCTGGAATACCTTCTTTGCCTTATAAAAATAATTTTTGTCTGTTTTTTTTTTTGTAAACAGCATATTTCTTTCTGGTTCCAAGCCTTCAGAGATAATAAGACAACTGCTGAACACTAATAGCAGGTCGTTGCTTTATACCTGCTGGTTTCAAGTTGAAGACATAAGCATCAAAGCAATATAAGACTGAAATTCTTGGTTACCTCCACATTACTATGTCAAAAATAATATCAGGGAGAGAAGGAAGCAGGAAGACAACAACAACAACAACAACAACAACAATAATAATAAAGTTGGAAGGGACCTTGGAGGTCATCTAGTCCAACTCCCTGCTCAGGCAGAAAACCTTATACCATTTCGGACAAATGGCTGTCCATTTTCTTCTTAAAAACTTCCAGCGTTGGTGTATTCACCGCTTCTGGAGGCAGGTTGTTCCATTGGTTAATTGTTCTAACTGTCAGGAAGTTTCTCCTTAGTTCTAGGTTGCTTCTCTCTTTGGTTAGTTTCCACCTGTTGCTTCTTGTCCTGCCTTCAGGTGCTTTGGAAAATAGCTTGCCTCCCTCTTCTTTGTGGCAGCCCCTGAGATATTGGAACACTGCTGTCATGTCCCCACTCGTCCTTCTCTTCGTTAAACTAGACATACCCAATTCCAGCAACCGTTCCTTATATGTTTTAGCCTCCAGTCCCCTAATCCTCTTTGTTGCTCTTCTCTGTACTCTTTCTAGAGTCTCAACATCTTTTTTACATCATGGTGACCAAAACTGGATGCAGTATTCCAAGTGTGGCCTTACCAAGGCATTGTAAAGTGGTATTAATACTTCACGTGATCTTGATTCTATCCCTCTGTTAATGCAGCCTAGCACTGTGTTGGCTTTTTTGGCAGCTGCAGCACACTGCTGGCTCATATTTAAATGATTGTCCACTAGGACTCTGAGATCCCTCTCACAGTTACTACTATTGAGCAAGGTACCCCCTATACTATACCTGTACATTTGGTTTTTCTTGCCTAAATGTAGAACCTTACTTTTTTCACCATTGAATTTCATTTTGTTAGATAGCGCCCAGTGTTCAAGTCTGTCCAGATCCTCCTGTATCCTAAGCCTGTCTTCTAGAGTGTTGGCTATTCCTGCCAGCTTGGTGTCGTCTGCAAATTTGATGAGTTCCCCATCTATCGTCTAAATTGTTGATGAAGATGTGTCTGCTTATGTACCAAAGTCAGTCAGCCAGCTAGCCAACCAGCTCCCTCCCTCCCTCCCTCCCTCCCTCCAGGCAAACTGGCATGGAGTTAAATCCTTTAGCAAGAAGCTCTTTCAGCCAGCCCCTAGAGACAAGACAGAATAGTGGCTGGCAGTAGTAGTTTGCAACCTTCCCTGTTGGCTTCCCCATGGACTTTCTGAAGAAACTGATGGAAAAGATTGCAAATGGTGATCACATGATTGTGAGACACTTGGCAACCAATCATAAATTCAAATGGACAGCCAAGAACCCATATCACTATCACATGACCAGAGGAGAGGTCCGATGTTCTGTGATTGTCAAAAGTGCATTTTTTCAGGGCATAAAGCAATCTTTCCATGGCTGTTGTTAATTCAAATTGTCATTAACCAAACAGCCATAAGTTGAGAACTACCAGCAATTGTGCATGCCAAAAAAAACAACAACTTTGCAGCATCTATCTCCCAAATGTCTTAGTTTTTATTTAAATGGGCATTTTCCCACCAGAATTAATTATTCTTATTTTAGTTTTAGTTTTAACTTTCATTTCTATATGAAAAAAGGTATTATAATACTTCATATCACCATTATAGACTATATTTAGATGATACTGGGGTTTTTTAGCCTTGACTGACACTCAAATGACAGTCTGGGCTGTTTAGACAGACTGGCTAAAGAACCATAGCTGATTATTGTAGACTTTTCACAAATGTTGAATTTCTTCAATTGGAAAACTGATACGTTGAGTCAGATTCAAAGTTCTCCTCAATGTTCTAATTTCCTCTGAGCTTTGTACAAAGATTGCAGTCAAATTCAAGAAGTGCTTCCTAAATGGAACTAATGTGATAATTTAAATTCAAGGTGCTCAAAATAGGGACCCAGCTAACTGAACATGACTATCCTGTTCAGATCAGGGCTGTCCTGTTCTGATATATTTTGCTTTCTTTCACATTAGTCTATGAAATTAATTAACACCCTTAATTCAAGGTCTTGTAATCTCTTGTTTCCTTAATTTAAGAAAAGTCTTTAAAAAAAACCCTTGAAATCCAAGAACTAGCATGTCATCCTACTCAAGGAGGATTGCTCCTTATCTGAATCTACAGTTTTCCAACCTTAGGGTATAGTCTGATTAAAATCTCAGAGGATAAACCTGATGTGTCTTCTTCACTCTGAAGAAGCAACACCGTGAAGATTTAGAAATGACTGAAGATTCTTTAAGGATTTGATTATGTTCCTTACAGCCTCATTTGCCAGACATTTGTTAGTGCAATAAGTCTTCTAGTTGAAAGACCGCATCAGTGAACAATGTATTATGCTGTCCAAGGTGCTGACTTTTCTTTTGTCTTTCCCAGTACCAGGAATTGCATGTTAGCCCAGACCTATATACACTGCCTTCCTTGGGGTTCACAGCTAAGCCAGTAAAATGAAGAATGTCTTACATATGAGAAACTTTGAAATTGCTATTGTGACTAGTATTTCTTACACTTTTAAATTCACTTTTTCACATTTGATTTTTTTAAAAAAATGTAACCTGATTGTAACAATGAAAAAAAATGTCTTATTATTAAATAATAAAATGCCTTCAGATTTAAAAAAAAAAAAATACCTGCTTTGCTCCTTTGATAGTTTCAAAAGGGTGGCATTTTGGAAGCTTTACACTGTACACAATTATCAATGTTAACAATACAGATAGAAATTTAAGAACAGTTTTTCTAAAGCCTTAAGTTTATACAATATTAATAAAAACTATGAACCATTTCCCAAGAAGTGTCTTTAGGAAGGAGTCCTGCAAATGTAGGTGAAGCAATAGCTTTTATCAATGTACTGCACACTTTTTCATAAATGCTTAAAAGATTCTTTCTCTTTTTAAAGGACGAGCCAACCACTGGTCTGCAATTATTGGTGGATCTCATTCCAAAAACTATGTTCTTTGGGAATATGGAGGATATGCAAGTGAAGGGGTAAAGCAAGTTGCAGAGCTGGGATCCCCAGTTAAAATGGAAGAAGAAATTAGGCAACAGGTAATATATATATATAAATATGTTTGTGTGTGTGTGTATGTGTGTAATATGATGTATTAAAACAAGAAAAGCTGTTAAAAATAGACTGGACACATGATAAAAGTAATTAAAGATGAGTTGAGATATTTTGTCATGAAGATTGTCAGTTTCTGTTCTAAGAAATTTTAACTAAGTTAATTATATTTTTCCAGGGTGAGGATTTTAACATGTAATTAAATATTCTCTTTAGGCCATGTTGCAGTTTATTCATAATGCAATATTGAATCATAGAATTTATTTGTAAGTTTAAGTTAGGAGTTTCTGTATAACATCTTTAGCTTTTATTTTCCTGACATCAATGTGTGAATTAACTTAAGCATTTACAAAGTGCACGGGGGGGGGGGGGAATCATCAAAAGTGAGTGACCATACCATCTCATATTGAAGGGAGGTGCTGTAGGGAAACAAAATAAATGTGATAGCAGATGGTGTGAGGGGCATGGGAGAAGTTTGCAATCAGTACTGTAATCTTAAATTCTCATATTATTTTCTACTATCACATCTGAAATGAATTAATAGCAACAATTCAAGAATTGTTACAGGCTGAACTCATTGAAGCATCAGATTTTATCTAAATGACCAGATCTTTTCTACATTTTATCTATGATTTCAGTTCCATTTAGCTTGAAAAAAGATCTCAAACTGCTTTCTGTTGAGCAATTAATTCTGCCTTTAAGATATAGAGCAGGGGTCTTCAGACTTGTCCCTTTTATGATTTGTGAATTTCAACTCCCAAAATTCTTCAGCCAGCATGCCTGGCTGAGGAATTCCGGGAGTTCAAGTCCACAAGTCTTAAAACGGACAAGTTTGAAGACCCCTGATATAGAGCATCCTTTCATGAAAAAAGTCATTCTAGGAAAAAAATAATACAGTGTTTCTTTGCCAAACTTTATTGTTGCTAATAATCTCCATCAAGGCTGAACTGGTTGCTTCAGTTGTTTGCATGAAATTTACAGACTTGACTTTAGTCAGTTTTTCCTCAAGCTCCAAATATTAATGTTACAGTATTTTTAACATTAACATGGTTGGAAGTGGCATATATACCCTTTGCATATATTCATTGTGTTTCCTATTTCAAGGATACAGCAATAGTAATTAAAAAAATATATTTAAACTGCAGGCCTTATTTGAACTTTATATTTTGAGAATGCATATGCTGGGGAAAATATCCTAGAGCACACATACACTTTCTCTCCTATCTTTTAGGTGTGGTTACCACATTTTTGAAATTATTTTCCTAAAAAGCAGTGTTGGGAAAGAGGTCACATCAATTGGTTTTTATCCCATAGGCTAAGGGGCCAACAAAAAAAATAAAATAAAAATAAAGTCTATTAAAGGCTATAAGGAAAAGAAGATATACATTTTTTATATCTGTAAATAAGTTTATAAATTATAATGGCTTCATTCTGAATGTGATGTTTTGACAACAGCGAAAGAAGATATCAAGGAAATAGGACTTCTGGTTTGCCATCACGGCCACCGCGGCTGCTGGAAGGCGAGCTCCATCTTCCGCATTCGATTTCGCATCACTGGGGGACCCTGGAAAAGGTCGAAAGTCACCCTGTAGGGGCAACCAGCAAGGAGGGGATCCCTGCATGATCGTGGGAGGGCAGTAGCCCTTCTGCTTGATCTAGGGCAGCCTTCCAAACCAGCGGACGAAAGACCGGCCATAGAAATATGGCTCGTCACTAGGCTGCAGACAGCCAAAGTCAAACTTACTACCAGGCACTCCAAAGCAGCACTGATGAGACTGGATGAGATCTGAACCTCTCTTTAATCCCAAATATTTTTTTCTCCTGCAAAAGCTGCCCAAAGTATCTTTCTCCCTGTGAGGAGAGAGGGAAGGGAACTTTTATCCCACCCTCTAAGAATAGCAGCGACTGACTATCCAGGGGAGTTAAAACACTGAAAGAATAACCTTAATCTAACTGGATTTATATGCTTCTAGAATTGAGGGACCAAAAGATTTCTTACCCTTATCAAAGACCTTGGTTTTTATTTACAAAAAAGAAATAAAATTAGAAAAAGGATTATAAAAATTTTGGACTTAAAAAACCTTAAATGGCATTGGTGACATCTTGTAGCTAAGTTTGATATTACAACTTGTTATTGTCTAAAGGAGACTTGACCGGAAGTTCAGACTATAGATAAGACTTTTTCAACCTTGACAATTATCAACTGTGAAAAGCTCAGCTGTATTCTATACTCAGTTATAAAATTATTTTCATTCTCTGACTTTAAAGCTCTTAATTTAACACACTACTAAAAGAGTACGGATGAAAATCAGGAACAGATTCTCCTTATGTTAAAAGCAATATATGAAACCATTCTTTCAGCTTGTGATGAAATAAGATGCTACAGAAAAGAACAAGATGTTAGCCTAGATATACAAACTTAAATTTTGACTACAAGTAAGGAATCAACTACACAAAACATAACAGAAGAAGTGGAACAATTAAATACTATGACAGAGGACTCAACTGACAAACAAATACAGTCAATGGAAAGTCCAGAAAAGGGACTAACAACATTGAAAATGGAAAAAGATTTTCTATATGAACCAGAAGAAACTTGAGGAGCAAGAAGAAGAACAGACAAAGGGAAGATAAACATACTAGGACAATTATGGGGATCTGGAATAATAGAGAGACAATTTATTAGCCCTTTCAAAAAAATGATGACTGGATGGTCTCTTTTATTTCAAATAATATATATAATAACAAAGGGAGATCTATTTGATGACCTAAAAGCACTGACATGGAGGGCGAGATGGCAAAGGAAGAAAGTTAGAATAAAGCTGAAGAAAATTGGGGTTTTGATATATCAGTGAGGATTTTATATTACTAATTAAAATAGATAAGATGTGTACTTTGAATACGAGATTTTGTTATGAATTGAGAAAAGAAAACTTTGGTCATTAAAAACTTGGAAGTATAAATACTAAAAGTTGAATTTGAATATTGATTGGAAATTAAAAATTAGGGAAAACAAATAAATAGGATATTGATTGTTTATAAAGATTGAATGTAGAAGTAATTAAGATACATAATAAGCTAAAATTTATTGGTAAATGTAATAAATATGTTTTATTTAATTGAGATAATAACTGTATTAGCTTAAATATGAGATAACAGATATCAAGAGAAAAAGAGAGGAAATATTTGACGTTGAAATAGGGGAAATTTTGGTCATTAAATTTAAGACATTTGGAAACTAGTTGAAGATAAAAAATGTTATATTATATTATTAATTAGATGATGTATGATGGTGGGAAATAGAATATACTCAAATAGATAAGATGTGTATTTTCAATAATAGACTTTGTTAAGAATTGTGATAAAGGAAACTTTGGTTACCAAAAATTTGGAAATTATAAATATCAAATGTTAAATTTAAATATTGATGGGAAACTAAAAAATGGGAAAAACTAACTACAGGACATTGACTGTTTATAAAGATTGAATGTTAAAGTAACTAGGATATGCTAAAAATTATTAATAAATGTAACAATGCTATCTTTACTTAATGGATATAATAAGAATTGTATTAGTTTAAATATGAGACAGCAGATATTGAGGGAAAAGGAGAGGAAATATTTGATGTGGTAGTTTGAGACTTGTACTAAAGATTTTTGTATGTTATTGAATTATTGATTAATCCAGCTGCCACGCTGCTTTTTAAATACTTAAATGTAAAATTAGAAAATCAATAAAATATTTCAAAAAATAAGAAGATATCATGAAAATAATTTGTTCGATTGTAGTAAAAATAAAAATAAAGATGGGTGATTAGAAAATAGTACAGTAGTGGAATTTGCATGGCAGTTGAAGGCAAACTTCCCCCAAAGGCTAAATTCTTATATTTGAGATGCATTTGTGGCATTTTATGTATGTGTATGTCCCTGTGTTTCAGGGAGCAGAGACTGCAGTATTCCCTCAGGCTATACAAAGGTTTTATTGGTAAATGCATCCTGAACTAAAACTCTCTGGTGTGAATTTAAATAAGCATTCATTTTATGTATCAAATGTGAAATGAATGAATAATTGAATGTTCTTGGTCTCGTCCAAGCCAGCTTAGCTAAGCAGGAAAAATGTCAGTGCTGAGATGGTACTTCTCATTAAAGTGAGATACAGTACTTCTATTGTGATTTTTTTTCATTGTCCCCCAGGTACATAACATGTATACTGCTTAGGCCATAACCTGAAAATAAAGAGGATGTATAGGATGTCTATGGAGATTCTCAGTCATTTAGGTCATAGTGATCGCAAAGGTGCTTTTTTCACGAGGCAAGTGGACTTCCTTGTTTTTCTCTCAGAGCTGAAGAAGCTTCTTGGATGAGAAGCCAAATGTCTTCAAAGAAAAACAAGGATGAGTAGGATGTGTTTCTACTTCCATTTGTCCAGTATTGAGGACTACATAATTTAATAATATCAGAATCTGAGGTCTCTTGTCCTTGCTTCATTCTGCTGGCAATCGTTTGACAGAAGAAGAAAGCATGGAGTAGGATCATATTTCATTAATTATTAGATTCAGGTAGTCCTTGACATAACAGTTCATTTAGTGACCATTCAAAGTTACAACAGCACTGAAAAAAGTGACTTATGACCGTTTTTCACACTTACGACCATTGCAGCATCCCCACGGTCACATGATCAAAATTCAGATGCTTGGCAACTGACTCATATTTATGACGGTTGCGGTGTCCAGGGGTCATGTGATCAGCTTTTGTGACCTTCCGACAAGCAAAGTCAATGGGGAAGCCAGATTCATTTAACAACCGTGTTACTAAGTTAACAACTGCAGTGATTTACTTAACAACTGTGGCAAAATGGGGCAAAATTCATTTAAGAAATGTCTCACTTAGCAACAGAAATTTTGGGCTCAATTGTGGTTGTAAGTTGAAGACTACCTGTACTAGGTATTTCAATGACATCTCTGCAGCAATTACTACTAGTCATGGGG